CACCAAAATAATTATTCATTCATCATCAGCTGAAAATTACAATGCAAAATAGGTTTAAATAGTAAAGCAACCCTAACGAGCTTAGGTCCGAGCCCATACAAGTCCAAATTTAAATAATAGTGCAAGAAAATAAATAAAGTTTAAATAAAATAAGTAAACGTCGTCTGATGTCCTCATCACAAACAAGCCAAGACATAATCATAAGTGACCTTGTCCGCAAGGTGAAAGTCCTGGCCAATTACTAATTTTCAAATACCGTGCAGCCGAACCATTTCCCTCGCAAGAATCCCAACTGTGGTGGAAGTGATACAGTGATGTTTCTGCCCGATAAAATTGGTAGACTTATTGAGACGAACAACTAGTATAATATCAATGAAAATCTCATATTTGGTTGCAACCACCCATGAAATTTCCAAATACTGAATTCGAGTGACTAGAATACAACTATGGGTCTCCTCACATTTGGCCAAAATCATAACAGCTTGGTGCGCACTCGGACCTCTGATTTTCCCCGTCCTTGTTTTAGTAGGCCCTACTACAAACTACTACAAAATTTATGGATAGCACCTCTGCATTGCCAACTCCATACGGCTCCATTTGACAGTCCTCATCATCGGATACTTCAAGCTCCAATTTTTACAGCAATGGCCCACTTCTCACTTCTGATCATGCATAAAAACCAAATGCTTCTCGCGCTTCAATTGTATGCTTGCATCCGTAAACTGGTTTAAGGAGTTCTTTGATTTGGGTGTTGAATTGAAATCCAGACATGAAATGGGATCCAATTTAGGATATGAAAAAGATGGTCACTGTTGAACCAGTGTTATCATGGCTGAATGGAGTAACTGGAGTGGAGTGTGGATCAAGAAAGTGGGTGTTGGGTCTGGTCTATCAGCTGCAGATTTTAGTTTACCTTGATTTGAGCCTGAATTAATCAAGACCTGTTGGAGCAAAGCATTAGTGTCTGAACTAATTGAGTCTGTTAGAACAAAAGTTTGTATCCTCCACTTTTTGGGCCAGGTCCTTGGCTTTCAACACCGGATCCTATGCCTTAATATCTGGATTCAGCCTACTTACGTAGTATCCTTTCAAATTGATCGTGATGCCTTCTTCTCGGGCCTGTTTTGCAATGGCAATGCTGGTTCAAAAGTCTCCGGCAAAAGAGAAGCTGGGACTTCAAAGATCTTCCAATCTTCTTTGGTGATGCCTTCTTGTTCAAGTGAGAGGAATTTCAATTTCTGCCCTCGTGAGAGGAAAGAAATCTCTCAAGCAGTAGGATCTTTAATTCTTCCCGAGTTTACACATGTTGATGCCGATCTACCCCTATAAACAATGCCAATGCCTCACCATCAAAACACTCTGTAGTGGCTTTACACATTATGTGCCTCCAACAACTGATTTATTTAGAAAATGCTCTACCGCTTAGACAGCACCAGTCTGAATTTTCACAGTAGATATATTTTGAGTCGGCCTTGCCAATCCATTCGAAAGTCATCCTTTTTGCTGAATTTTTGCTGCGCTTGTTCAAATTTCTCCGTAAGTGACCCCATCCTCTCCAGGTCTTTCCCTAAATCTGTTGCCATTTGCTCTAGAATCGATGATAAGAACCTGATTTGCATTGTATTTTTTTATATATATTTAATGATTAGACTGAATGGAATTACAATGGATTGCAGATCATTCTACAGGCCCTACTTCTCTCCCAAGACATACCCAATTTCTCCTAAATGAACGGATAATATTCTTCCCCTTCTATTCTAGTAGTAGCATGTAACCCAGAAGATTCCCATGTTTGCTGTACCCTAATTGGGAAAAAAAAAAAAAAAAAAAAAAAAAAAAAAAAAAAAAGCTAAAAA